TCCGGGCGAGGTTCCCTCTGAACCCCGCAGAGGATGGTTTCCTTTCCTTTCCTTTCCTTTCTTTCACTTTCTCTCGGTTCCTCTCTTTCTCTTTTTTCTTCCCTTTCCCTCTTTCTTTCCTTTCTCTTCCCTCCCTCCTTTCTCTTTCCCCTTTTCGTCTTTCTTTCTCTCTTTCCTTCCTTCCTTTTCTTTCCCTTTCTTCTTTCTTTTTCGTTCGTCCTTCCTTCTTCTTTCCTTCCCTTCCTTGCTTTCTTTCTTTCTTTCTGTCTGGCTTTCTAGCTTTCTTTTTTTCCTTCCTTTCTTTCTCCTTCTCTTTCTTTCTTTCTCTTCCTTCCCTCTTTCTTTCTTTCTCTTCCCTCTTTCTTTCTCTTCCTTCCCTCTTTCTTTCTTTCTCTTCCCTCTTTCTTCCTCTTCCTTCCCTCTTTCTTTCTTCTCTTGCTTTCCTTCCCTTCCTTGCTTTCTTACTTTCTTTCTGGCTGGCTTTCTAGCTTTCCTTCTTTCCTTCCTTTCTTTCATTTTCTTTCTTTCTCTTCTAGCCTTCTTTCCTTTTCTTTCCTTCCTTTCCTTGCTTTCCTTCCCTTTCTTGCTTGCTTTCTTTCTGACTGGCCTTCCTTCCTTTCCTTTCTTTCTCTCTCTCTTTCTCTCTTTCCTTGTCTTTTTCTCTTTTTCTTTCTTCTTTCTCTCACTCTTCTCTCTCTCGCTCTCTCTCTCTCCCATTAAAAATCTAGCAGCCACTTGCAATCCCAGTGAAACCCCATTCATCACTCGCTTTCAGTTAAGATAATTGTTGGAGACCGGAAAGCCTCTGTTTCTGTAAAGATGCAATTAATGCAATAGAGGCCTCCACATTAAACACTGGCACAGCACCACCCAAATCAAAGATACCTGCGAGGCTTGGATGAGCTTTGTAAAGATTTGCATGTAGAGAGATCAGAAAAGCAGGAAGGGAAGACGGTAAGAAAGCCACAGCCGTGCTGAGAAGGGTTGGTAGTGCACTGGCAGTGGTCCTGGGGAAAAGCTGGGAAAGCAAGCTGTAGGGCTGGGCGTTAGCCGAAAGGGGCTGGAGGCTGCCAGCGAAGGAACCGTTTCCTGCTGCCTGGTTCCTTCCAACTCCAGGACAACAGGATTTTAGAAACAAGCAGGGTGGCAAAAACCTGCTTCCATCAACACTTTCTTATCCTACTGGATACAACCTACCTGGCCCCAAACTGCGCTCGGTTCCAAAGGGCCAACAACAGACACCGGAGCAGCCTACGGCCCCAACCACGCGCCCCGATCGGGAACCGAAACCCTAATCCCCCCACCCCGGCATCTATCATCCAGTCGAACTTGGGCTTTTGCGGATTGACATCCACCTGCTTCTCACGACCAGGACAACCAGCAGTGAGCTCCTACCCAGGAGGCTATTTTTTCCCATAGAACGTAACGGGTGAGAAAGGAGACATGAGAGACTCGGGAGCAAGTTCTTGGGTCTATGGAGGAAGCAAAGCAAAACAAGGTGTAGATACGGCCAGCTACGACGCCACTGCCCGGGGGCATTCAGGCGAAATCCACCCCGGGGTACCAGGTCCGAGGTTCAGTGTTTGGACGACTCCGGTGGGATCTCAGCCGGTCCCCGGCCCTGGGCTGCGATTATCCCGAGTGGAGCGCCAAGCCGCATGCCCAGATGTGAGCCAGCACGCAGCTCGTTCGCTGCTTCCTTGTATTCATTCGAGTCCCCGTACTGTAAACAGCCAAACACCAGAGAAGGGAAACACGGCAATCTGTAAATCTTGG